CCTTTAAGGGGTCAAGGTCGCTACAAGCACCTGTCGTATTTAGCCGAGTTTTATTTGCTTTACATCATCGGAATGTGAGAGGTTGTGTCGGCTTCCTATTGTTTTGAAACAGAACAATAACTGCATGTCCTTTAAGGTGCCTTTGCGCGACATTAGTGAAAGAGCAATTTAAATGTCAGACAAAAATGAAATGGATAGGATAGAAAATGACGTGTTTGTAATCTCATACATTTGCAGTTCTGTTTTGCAGGTATAACGAGAGGATCCAGTGTTTGAGGGAAGGTATCTGTTGTTACTTTGTATTAACAGTAATAATTGTTGTAATCTTAACGTGTATATTGCTAGTCTGTCATACAAACCCCGAAACAATTATATCAAAGAGAGCCAATGCAGGTCTAGAATATGTGGCAAGTCTAGATTCTGAAAATGAAGAAAGTCTCAGGGCTCCTTTTCATTATATTTCATTTTTTATATTATGAACTGTTTTATCTGTAAAATATGTTCATTTCAGAGACTAGTGGTTAGTCTAGTATATTGGCTATAACAAGTTACAATGTGTTTCACTACTACTACTACCACCACTACTACCACCACCACCACCAACACCACCACTACTACTACTACTACTACTACTACCATCACCACCACCACCACCACCACTACTACTACTACTACTACTACTACTACTACTACTACTACCACCACCACCACCACCACCACCACTACTACTACTACTACTACTACTACTACTACCGCCATTACCACCACTACTACTACTGCTGCTGAGCTGGCTGGCTGAGTATGGTTTTACGCCGTTTTTAGCAATATTCCAGCAATATCACGGCGGGAGACACCAGAAATGCGCTTCACAAGTTGTACCCATGTGGGGAATCGAACCCGGGCCTTCGGCGTGACGAGCGAACGCTTTAACCACTAGGCTACCCCACCGCCCCACTACTACTACTACTACTACCACTACTACTACTGCCACCACCACTACTACTACGACTACTACTACCACCACCACTACTACTACTACTATTACTACTACTGCTACTACTACCACCACCACCACTACTACTACTACTACTACTACTACTACTGCTACTACTACTACTACTACTACTACTACTACCACTATTACTACTACTACTACTACTACCACCACCACCACTACTACGTACTACTACTACTACTACTATTACTGCTGCTACTAGAAAGGGAGAAATACAGTACTGATTTGCATGTTACAAGAGGAAACAATTCCCTCTCCAATTTCAAGCGATACTGCCTGTAAATAATCGTCCTTGTCTAGCTTTGTTGTCCGCCAGGGGTTGTAGATTGTGTGTGTGGGATGGGCTTCTCGGGTAGTACAGGTGTGTCAGGCATTGTGGAAATTTCAAATATGTGACATAAAAACCGTCATGCAGAAAGCTAGTGCGCAAATAATTATTGATCAAATATTCAAAAGCAATTAAAGCGGAAAGGTTCTTTCGTTCGTATCGATAACAACAGGTTCGAATTGTACACTCATACAGTTTGCTTTATAGGAAAATATCCAAAGCTCTGATTCATCATGATCTGAATATGTTTTACTGTTTAGTGTGATTGTAAACATTACGTCAAAAGTAACACTTACTTTTCTTGCTTAACCGAACACCCTGAAACCTGAAGCATCGACTGTGATGTGGCCTGTACCATTAGAACTGGACAGTGCACTTATATGCGCATATATCGTATATAAAGGCGTGTGCAACTACATTAATGACGTCAAATAAAGTGAGTGAGCTTAGTTTTACGCCGCTTTTATCAATTCGGCGTGACGAGTGAACGCTTTAACCACTAGGCTACCCCACCGCCCTCAAATATAGTACACATAGGGAGGTATTCCCAAGCAATGGTTTTCCCAAACAGAATGAAGTTTTGAATAAACCATGAGGAACTATTTTTGTCGGATGGTGTCGAGATGTATACGCATGTACTCCAGGCAGGTGTATATTCAAATATTTACGGTATAAACATGAAGTTTCTAGGTGTATATGTAAGTATTGAATTTGGCGATCCGCGTAGTATCAACAGCTATAAATTTATGTTTATGTATGTTCTTCGTGTATGCATTCTTGCTGTTGGGCAAATGTGTTTTGTTATGACTGCTTTTTGGCCTCTTGATGTTTAAGATGGCAATACTGCATTTGTTTTGACTGTTTGTTATGTCACAGTCAACGTAAAGGAGTGCCACTTCGCACTGACTGTGTTCTAACTCGTAATCGCTCTAAATAGACAGTATACGTAGTAGTGGCTCCACCCGTAGACAGAAAGCTGGTAGAAAACATGTGCCCTGCACTGCTTGTGATGGAAACCGGAAACTGCCTCTTTAAACGGTGTGAAGGAAACCCGGGGACTGCCCCTTTAACAACGCAAACATACCATGAGGGGGAAAATCAGATCTGAATGTATCGGACGTTAAGTAGCAGGACACTCCCAGCACGGGTATCGAGGAGATTCGTTGGAATTTTTCAGGAGGTGTCCGGCTATGCATAGGCACGCACATGTAGTAAGTATCAGTTCCAACCTAATTTGGGCTTGGGAAAAAACAACTACCCTCAAAATGCTCGTGTAGATCACTAGATGTCGACTAAAACGTGACCTGAACTGACTGACTGACTGAGTTTGGTTTTACGCCGCTTTTAGCAATATTCCAGCAACAACACGGCGGGGGACACCAGAAATATGCTTCACACATTGTGCCCATGTGGAGATTCGAACCCGGGTCTTCGGCGTGACGAGCCAACGCTTTAACCATTAGGCTACCCCACCGCCCTTGTGACCTGAAACCTTATAACACATATCCTGCAGACACACCAGCAACTGTTAAACAGGCGTTTGACAATCATACGGGAACGCAAGGTCTACGGATATACTGGACTATCACTTATAGTCCCTGAATATATATGTAATTTTGATAATAACAAAAAACCCATTTAAATTGACAAGAAGCCCCTGTGAGATGGGAAATTCACCTGAGAAAATCTAGACTTGATTCATTTAGTGCCATAGCATTGCAGGGAGGGCAAGGCAATGGGGAAAATAATGTGGTTCAGGGACTGTGAGACAGACTCCCTAGCCCTCCCTGCAATGCTGCTCTGGGACTGTGAGACAGACTCCCTAGCCCTCCCTACAATGCTGCTCTGGGACTGTGAGACAGACTCCCTAGCCCTCCCTGCAATGCTGCTCTAAATGAAACAAGTCTAGATTTCCTCAGGTTCAGGATCTACAGAAATACACGCGTGTTTCTAATGCCCACGAGCAACGATTGCACCTCTTCAATCACTAGACGTTTAGAAGTGTACACATTTTAGATTGGGGGTTACCGCCAGCTACAACTGAGGTCAGCTGAAACGGGGTTAAACGTCGCGTTTAAGCTTATTCCACCTTCCTAGCTATGTACATTTGTTAGTGTGTGTGCCTGTCCCGCTTAGTGCCGGTTTCTTTTCCATTGATGGTTTGTCTCACAGTCCCTCAACCACATTACTTTTCCCTACTGCCGAGCCCGTGTCACACGTTTCATTGTAATCCGGCGAGTAGAAGCGAGGTGTTATAACTGGTGTCTCTCATGACACAACACTCTGCCTGTAACGCGTTCTTGTCATTTCACGTGAGACATGATGTTCCTACAACGACAAATACGACACACACAACGTACAACATCCTCACTTAATGCTTGCGCCGTTGTTACTAACGCACAAGTCAACTGCGCTTTTGATCTTTTTCACAAAAAAACCCACAAAAAATAAACATCGGGAGACTGTTCACTTGTCACTGTGCACCAAATTGACCAGAAACACACCCTTTCACAAGAACATCGGACAAAACAATATAGTGGAACCCCGTTAATCCGGTCCGTTGTGTTCCCACTCAAATCGTCCCAGGTGACTACTTCTGCATTAACAGGGTCCATTCTAATGGGTTTCACTGTATTGGTTAATTAAAATGGCTTTAGTGGTTCATGGTCATCAGACTCATAGAGTAAATCAGTATGCCACTCAAGGGGCTAAAGCCTCTTCAAACAGTGGTTCTGTTCTATTAAGTTTTCCTTGTTGTTTAACGATATTCCACCCGAGTGACAAAGATCAGTAAATAATCGAGTCTGTTCCCTCAAATCCAGGGGTCGATATTATGAGCATCGATCCACGCTGTCGGGGTATAATGACACATAGCCAACCACGCCATGGCTGCCCATGGTATTTGGTAGCTTCTTAGACCAGCATTGTTTGCTGGGAACCTATTCATACCCGGCACCCTAATGGAGTTCAGTGTTACCACGCCTTAGTCCGCTGGGCCATCCGTGCCTCTCTTAACATAGAACAAGACGATTACATTATCACACAAACTCATGTCTTGTTTCGCGTGTATTTGCCGTTGAAATGTGTTCCTTTGTAAAACCTTCCGGAATGAATGTGTTTTCCTTAGTGCATTTTGATCTTGCAAACAACACCATGCTGCAGTGTAAACTTGCAGCTGCAGCTTATGTTTACACTTGGTCTTGTGTTTTGTGAATAAATGTCTGGTCTGATTTTATATTTTGAATGTGTATTAACTTGTTTTATTGACTTAATGCTAAAGTTGTTTACAATAGGTAGGGGTCAGCATACGAGGTTATATAAATACATGGAACAGGATTTCAAATTAAACAGTTCGCCTTCACAGATGAGTATAACGCCCTGAGCAGGTGAAACGAGTTCCCCTTACCTTACAATACTAGATTAGTGAAATGACGCCACAAGACTTTGGGGATCACTGCCTTTAGAATGATGTCCAATAAAAATAGAATGCAAAGTACATGTTTGGTATCTGACACCGACAGTCTGAACATTAATTGTCCCTATAACAAGAACAAAATTATCTCATAAACTGACAGGTGAATGAAAGTGTACACCCTTTGTTTGATGGAGACTAAAATATATACTGAGGGAAACAAATAAGGGAACACCACTTCATGACACTGTTAATTATTTATTCTCAGACTCCCCCCGTTATTCCAAGCTGGTGATGAAACCTGAAACATATTAAAGGAACACTTGAATTTTCGTGTGTTCCTTTATTTATTTCTCTTGGTATATATTAACAAGACCTGGTTATTCGATGTTGATGTGTCCGATAGATGTACCATAGGCAATACAACGTGCATCAGACCAAAGAGTGTCTCCCAATGGCGACGTGCACGTGACGTCTTAAGGAACGTTGGGGTCGCCATTTTACAGTAAGCAGTGATGAGCAGATTGAAGAAAGTTAATATTATGGGATAGAGTGGATGCTGAGGGTTGTACTTGGACAGAGTGATCTGCCCCTTTGTCTGCCATCTTGACCTGACGGCGCGGGGCGTTCTTCACACAACTGATCATTGGATTGTCTGGTCCAGGACCGGTTCTTTACAGGTATGAAAGGTACAGGTATGACACAGCTATTGTGTTGCGTGCTACAGTGTTAAACGCGTGTACGATCAGTTGTCTAGAAATAAATGAAAAATAACGGATACATAATTACATTGCCAGGAACGAGCAATGTACTAGAGCTTGTGTATGGATGAGAGCTGCGTGTGAGGTGTGTTGCGAGCTGTGTGTGAGGAATTTCGCGGGATGTTTATTGAATATGTATGTTGCGAGCTGTGTGAGTGTGTTGCGAACTGTGTGAGTGTGTTGCGAGCTGTGTGAGGTGTGTTGCGAGCTGTAGAAGTGTGTTACGTGCTGTGTGAGCTGTGTTGCGAGTTGTGTGTGTGATGTGTGTGTGCTGTGCTGTGTGTTACAAGTGATGTGTGTTGAGGTGTATTGCGAGCTGTGTGTGAGGTTTGTTACGAGTTGCGTGTGCGTATGTTGCGAGTTGTGTGTGAGGTGTGTTGCGAGCTGTGTGTGTGTGTTAGAAGTTGTGTGTGAAGTTGTGTGTGTGAGGTGTGTGAGTGTTAGAGCTGTGTGTGAGATGTGTTGCGAGTTGTGTGTGAGGTGTGTGAACGAGTCAGATGTTTGTTTCGTTCTGTGTGGGATGTGTATTATACAGGCTGTGTTTTATATATGAACGAGATCTAGGTAATGGGTCGAGTATCATATAAAACACAATTACATCTGAACTTTATTCTTCACCTTACCAGGTTGTAATTCCCATGCATATCTGTCTGTGATGCTTCCTGCCACGTGACACCAGGATGTAACCAGTAGTAACCCGATATGGATGCATCGAGAACCCAACAAATACCTTGTGTCTATAAACACATTCCTTAATGGCGCCACAATCTGCGTCATTATTCACTATACAGACGCCATTGTGTCACCTCCACACTCCAAGTCGATGTTTCAAACGATGCATTACTCCGGGTTTTTGACAGGATTTATACTGACATAAAGACCTAGTGCCGGTGATGATGTGCTTGTCTCGAATTCACGACACGATGTCGAAGTTACTTGTATTATAACTCAATCCAAGTACATAAGTCTTATACTATGAGCATAATATAAATCTGTCTGTCTCTCACTTTTTTTCTCTCTCTCTCCTCTCTCTCTTTCTCTTCTCTCTCTCTCTCCTCTCTCTCTCTCATTAGACCAGACAATCCACTGATTGATATTATGAACAACGACCCTCACCGTCAGGGTACGGCTACACACAATCAGCTGAGTCAAGGTGTCCACCCGATCCATAAAGTACCCCATGTTGGCGGTCTATTCCCACCCGGTATACCCACGGGTACTATTTCACTTCCATATAACGAGCAGTGGTGACTGTCTGTGAAGATCAGGGTTAGAATTGATCTTCAGTAATTCATGCTTGTCGTAAGAGGCGAATAACAGGATTGGGTGGTCAGGCTCGCTGACTGGTTGACCACATGTCGCCATATCCCAGCTGCGTAGAACGATGCTCATGATGTTGATCACTGGATTGTTTGGTCCAGACTCTAACATATGTTATATTTGGGATTACACTTTCTTAGTCAAGTACAAATTCTAGTTCTATTCGGATTGAGTCCCATCCGGGATTCGAACCCACACCCTCAGAGTGAGGCACCTAATCGCCAGCACACAAAGTCAACCGCCTAACCCGCTCAGCCACCGCGACTTTGTGTACTAGAATCTGTACTTGACTAAGAAAGTGTAATCCCAAATATAACATATGTTACATTTAATCACTTTCTAAAATGGCACTGTGTTATCATGGTCCAGACTCGACTATTCACAGACCGCCGCCAAAACAACAAACCAGCCAACCAACCCCTCAGTAGTGACTGTTACAATACGTCTCTGTACCGGTTAGCTAACTGAATCCGGATCAGGCTAACGAGTAGGTAATAGCATGAACAATGGTTTTGATCGGGGCACAATGACCAACCATTCTGATCAATCTATGTAAGTTAATCATTAGAAAATAACACATAAAAATCATGTGTAGTGCATTATCCATATATCCTGACCAACACCAGCATGAAATAGTATTGTTGTAGAAATATTATTGGTAATAATAATACCATTTAAACATTATGCTTCAGGTAACTAGCTTAGAGCTGTGCACAGCGGGATGACTGGCGGAGGATAGACACGTACTATTATAGTATTCAGCGGGTTTGTAGTGGAGAAACACGTACAAATGAGGCCACACGCACCTGCATTGACCTAAAGGTGCACTAATATATATGAGGTCTCCATCCACGTCGCGAGGCTCTGCCAGGTGTGTTTAACAGGTAGCAGCCTTACCGCGTCCTTTCAGGCTGCACACATCGTGTAAACTGTAAAACATCTATCCAACACCTCAATTTATATCCTCAGTGAATGAATATATCATTTAAGTTAAAACTAGAAAATTTGTTTCAACACACCTGTGCATGTCAGCACGATTTGCCCTCGGTCGGTGCATCATCCAGGTATATCCAGCTTTATCCAGGTATATTAACTCTATCCAGGTATGTCCAGGTATATATACAGGGTAGGTATATATAGTACTCCGTGTTGATATTTCCCTCAGGTCCCTAGACACATGAACGCTTGTGGCGAGGCAACGTCACCGCCAGCAGCATGTGATATGTGCCAGGTGGCGTTAATGCGTGTCCTCTTTATGAATGATCACGGCGCAGTTGAAACACTAGGTGACAGTGTTACCGTAGAACCTAGCGTGTGTTGGTACCGTTCTCTCACGTAACCACACTGTTCATCAAGTGGTTGTTTATGCAAAGGTTTGGTTTAATGTGTTGTATCATGTGTTTTCACACAGTTATTCCAACATGAGACCAGTTTGGTCCATTCGAAAGTGTAACTTTGTAGAATACATTTCTTTGATAATTACATGTTTTTAAATTTTTCCTACCTGAGATATTGACATGTAGACACTCGTCATGAAAACCTTATAGGAATTATCTCCGTTGAGAAAATAAACATTATCTAAACAAGGAAATATTATCACAACTAATTTGAGATGGGAAGTAAATCACGGGCTCACGGGGCTCCGGTGAAGAGTGCCAGCCGTTGAAGAAATATAGAAGTACACATGACGCAGCTTCTTCAACAACGTCAGGGACGATGGGGTAGCCTAGTGGTTAAAGCGTCCGTCCCTCACGCTGAAGACCAAGGTTCGATTCCCCACATGGGTACAATGTGTGAAGCCCATTTCTGGTGTCCCTCGCCGTGATATTGCTGGAATATTGCTAAGAGCGGCGTAAAACCATACTCACTCACTCGCTCAACAAGGTCAAGACAACGCACTGCGTGTGATGTCGTTTTCGCCGACGCCACCATTGCTGGTAAAGAGCAGAACAAACTATGGTTTATTCTTCCTTTGAATATTTTAAGCTAGCTTATCACCATCGTACAATGCAAACAGTCATTATGCAAACTGAAAGCGAACTATAAATATCTCTGAGTGTAAAACATCTGTTTGTGTACAGGTATTCAGCTACTGCATAAACCCTACAAGCTCTAAGTAAACGATATCCACAAGGAGATTGGTCCACAGTTGGCGACAGCTGGCGACTGGTTGTCCTACATAACTATCACTAGCAGAGTGAACAACTGAACTACTACATACATGACCTTTAACCTCCGGTTCCTAAAGTCAGGGGGATAATCCCCACCAATCTTGTTACACACTTAGTATCAGCTTGTTAGGGTTTGGGAGATTGATGGGACACAGTGACGGATATACACCAGAACTTAGCACGACCGCGACCAATGAGCGATCTGTTACTGCTCGGGATTTTCCTGTTGCGCAAATTGTGTCACCGTGGTCGATTTATTATCCAAATGGAGATATCGCCTGGGTGATATCAAGGGATATCGCCTAGCAGATATCAGTACAATGAAATAGCATCACAATGCGTTGAAAACAATTGTGACATCATTGGTTACGATGACGCCACAATCAAATGACATCACTCGCATACACCCTCGCGTCCTACGATATGTCTCCACTAGTCATCAAAACTTTGACCCCAGGAAGCCCGTATAGTTTGAAAGTTTCACGTAGTCGTGTTGATATATACTGAACAGATACTAGTAGGGATCAGGAATACTTTAGGGGATATGTTCGTAATGAAGAATGAACACACGATGTCATGAAAATACCTGCACAAATTCAGGATCCCTAACTTCTTCTGCTCAGCATATTTTTCGCTACACATGCGGGTAATATTCTGCCTGTATATAGACATTTCAAATCTAGCGTACGACAACAAGTAGGTTTTCAGTAGGAACTATAAAGGTCTTTCAACATATATGTATGGTATATTGATATTCACTATTCACTGCGCCGGACCTCTTGCGGTGCTACAGTGTTATTCGCCTGCACCGACATTTCCTTATGCCCGTCGAGAGGACCGTTACAACTTAATATAAACTTGTGTTCATAAAATTGATCGTGCGCACAGTTGGTTAAGTGTGGACCTTAGTTGATTGATTTCTTCTTGACTGGGCGTCACTTGTCAAATGTGTGAATAACAGATTTATAGTGTGGTGTTGTATATTGTGTGTCTCTTCGCCTATATACAACTATGGCTGGTTGGGGTGATGTTAATTGTAACTCACTGTAATGCATCTTGGCAGTTGCTGCATTCAGAGTGAGCGCGGATGACTGTATTATACTACTCACACTTTGCTAAGGATCATAAAATTCACAAATTTACTTAAATGTAGATTCATAATTTGAAATTGTATCCATTTAAAACTGGAAAAATAATAATATGGTAACCCCTCTTTAGGCAAAGAGTCACTTTAATCTAATCTTACGCACTTGATACATGAGTAACCATCAAAATGGTTGCCATGGCACCAGTCAACCACAAATCATGGAACGAGTCATTGACAAGTACACAACACCTGTCAATAGCAGGTATGGGATCCACAAGATGCAGTGACGTACTGAAACCTGGGATCCATGCTCACAATAAGCTTAGACATTTAAACCAAATTTGACCCCACATCATAGTTTTCTGTTGAATCAATGATTTGATCCTTAGCAAAGTGTGAATATAGTATAGTTTAGTCAATTTATCTTAGAGATAGTCGTGAAGCTGTTGATTTCACAAATGGTTTGAGTGTATGTTTGTGTGGCAGACTGACAGGGCGTTTCAGCATTTACCCACGTGTTTACGTTGAAACATGATGTGCGACTGACTGCAACGTACTGAGTCACGTGTTAATGACGTTATTCAGTCGTTTAGGATAACTCGATGAGTACCTTTAAAACGGAGAAGGACAAATTGTTTCGTAGACGTTGGTAATTTGGGTTTAAGGCACGGGTGTTGTGCTTTATATCATGATTAGACTGAATCTAGTATTGGAACTGCAAATAAAGGGTCTGACGGTGTACGGGCTGCACACCAGTACACCATGGAGGGTGAGGTGATGTGGAATGGGGGTTTAACGTCGCACTTGAGAACATTTTGCTCATATGACGACGGGCATGCGTGTGTGTGTGGTTGCTTGTACTAACCCAGACTGAAGCTGGGATATGCCGCAGTTAAGCATGAATACTCCACTCAGACACATTATACTGACTCCGAGCCGACCAGTCCTTGTTGTACCCATTAATGCCGAGTGCCAGGCAGGGACCAACAAGTACCATATTTTAACGTCTTTTGGTATGACGCGGTCGGGGATTGAACCCGCGACCTTCCGCTCTCCAGGCGGACGCTCTAACCACTACACCACGGAGGCGGTTGTATACCATGGAGGGAGCTATGTTGAAACTGTCAGCTGTACCGGTCGAACACGGACCTTTGGCGCGACTAGGCTACCCCCCCAGTCCCCAGGTTATTAATTTAGTACAAAAGCACAGTTGTGTGTACAGTTCGCTCTACTGGGACACACAGCCCTGGAAACCAACAGAATTGTGTGATGTTATTGAACGCCTATGCATTCATGTATGAAAAGTCGTAGTCTCTCAGCCTCTGAACCATATAGCAGTCCCTTCCGCCCAGCCAATGTGGTGTCACTATCGTCCTAATTAAAGCAAGTCCAGTTATCTCAAGTGCTCACCTGGGATCCTTTCCAATTCAATAGTTTACATCTTCTTACCAAAAGTATATAGTTTTCAGATACCTCAGCCTGAGTCTAATATGTGGCACCAAATGGTGTACCATGTAACTATTGAGTGAGTGAGTATGGTTTTTGCTCCACACATTGTACCCATGTCCTGAATCGAACCCGGGTCTTCAGCGTGACGAGCCAACACTTTAACAACTTGGCTCTCCCACCGCCCCTACGATGTAACAAAGGTACGCTACGAGGAAGGTCTATGCAAAGCATTTGTCTGTGAGTAACCGGGACAGGCTGTGTGCATCGTCGTGAGGCATCTCCCACAACAACGTTACACCAACAGCCACTTCAAGAACAAATGGTGCGGGGTGGAGAAGATCTAGATGTAGATTAGATACGTTGAATTTAAACATTTCCGACTTCCACATTGCTCTTTCACCTACGTACGCAACCAGATAGGTTAAGTGCCCAGAGTATTTAGGAGAAAGGGTTTCAGCTAATGTGTTTTCAACGCTATTATTGTTGCGTTCAAACCACGTCCAGTTGTTACAAGAGAAGTAAAACAAACAGTCTGACAACATGGAGTGGAGCCGCCGTATCCTTTCTCTTGTAAAACCAGTTCTGTATTTGCATCGTGACTAATCTCGGATCCGCTTCTATCACTCATTTTTATTGAAGGTCTATATACTAAACGGTGCTTAAAGGCAATACTTGTTAGTTATCCTGCCAGGCGCTTGGTATTAAGGTGAGAGTGAGTGAGTTTAGTTTTACGCCGCTTTTAGCAATATTCCGGCTGCACACGCCTTGCTCATAAGCACCCCCTGGAACCACTGTCCTGTAGAGTGCAGTGATAGGGTGACTGTCCTCCTGCGTTTGCAGTGATGATAGTGTGCTTGTTTTGGTGGTGAATGTAGGTTTGGTTTTAACAATCTAGTCACCATTTGTGAAAGACGAACAATATTATTTAAATATTAACGGTGGGGGACACCAGAAATGGGCTTCACACACTATACCCATGTGGGGATCGAACCCGGGTCTTCAGCGTAACGAGCGAAAGCTTTAACCATCGTCCCATATATTAAGGGAAGAAACCAATTACTGGTTGGCACACAGTTAGTGCAGTGTGTTTAAGTGGTTTATCTATGTAAATGTTCGGCACAGTATCTCATTAGGCTTGTGTTATGAAACTGATATTTGCACGTCGCTCTGTGCGATAATAGCGACCACGACGATAAAACCCTCTCACCAAAGCACCTAGAAAGTTACATTAACAGAAAGTGTCACTAAACCCCAAAGTCCCCTCGTAGAATGTATTCAATATCCATCGAAAATTAATAAATACACAAGGGCAATATAAAGTGATCCTATTTCCCCCTACATTTCTATGCGCCATTGCCAAGCAGCTACAGTCCGTTTGGCTCAAAAGCGGACCGATGAATTGCAATCTAACTCGAAAACTAATAAACATAACATACTCAATGAAACGCCGATCATAATCAAAACATCATACCCACTCTGTGAGGTTTTTGCAGAATTTTTGTCATAAAATTAAAAAAATTGTTTAACAAATTATCATTAAAATATTGACACAGTTCACTGTTTGTTACGAGGGAGGAGTGCAGAGAAAGGGACAGCCAGGTGTTCGCGAAGCACGTTCACAGACAAAGTTATTTATTCATTAACCTGTGCTGTGCCGTCTCCATCCGTTCTCGAACACCTGGCCTCACAGACTCCTCCCTCGTAAC